CATTATCACCTCCATTTTACGGATGGGGTACTGAGGCACAGAGAGATTAGATAACTTGACCCAGGTTGCACAGGAAAACCAGAAGCTGACCCCAGCTCTTTTGAGTTCTAGCCCAGTACCTTCACCCAGCACCATTGTCTTTCTCTTGAAAGAGCCTGTCCAAAGAACTACTCTGTTGTGGAAAGCCAAAGGACTAGCAGTCCAAAAAGTGAGTCAGAAGAGGAGGTAGAAACAGACAATAAAATGCCCTGTTTCTTCTCTCCTCAGGTTTTTGCTGCGCTGAGGCTGCAAAATTCAGGTCAGAATTCCCAACGCCGTTTGTTGGATCTAAGAGTCCAGCTCATTTTAAATGCTCCTGGAGCTTCAGAGAGGGCGTGGCGGGGCTGAGTAATGAAAGACAGCAAAGGTGAGGGTCTCTGATAAGGTGGGAAGTGGCTTCTGGAGAACACTTAAGAATCACATCCAAAGATCATCCTGAAGACAATGAGGACTAGACACAAGGACCCACTGACTGAAGTGCAGCAGCAAGAGAAAAAACAGTCAAAAGACATGCCTGAAAGATACATAGCTGGGATTCCAGAATTCCTCAGAGGTATTTTGTCTTAGCCAACATACGGTGCTGTTTTAAAGCAATTAATTACTCAACAGACGTATCTCCGCCATTCCACCCTGTTTAGAATCTCTATGGCAAATCAAGATCTAGTATATAGTTCATAAAATGTGTCATGTGTACATTAATTGTAACAAGATGTATCAGACCCATTTAAACTATTACCCAATTTGTGATATTTCCTGCCTAAGGCAGGACCAAGTATGCCTATTATATTTGAAGATCTTGTGGATTTTCTATGAAGAGAGAGAGACCCATAGACAGAAGTAGAGTCAACCTGAAGGCAGCTGTAGAATACATCAGGAGCAGGGGGGATCTTGGACCATGTCCACACATATAAGTTGCACCAAACCAAAATTTAACCAAAATTTATTTGAACCCCTATATGGACCCACTTATATGTCTTTAAAACAGAATATTTTTGTTTAGCATGTGCCTGTAAATTTATTGCAGCAAATGAAACCAATATAAAACAGATTAAAATAGATTTAAGCATGTCCACACGGGTTTGCATCAGTTTATCTACAACAGCTTAAAACCATACCTGTAGTCAAACTGTGCAATGTTGTGTTTCAACCAGGCTTTAGATTGTAGGGATTTGCTACTGACAGAAGGCAGGTGTTGTAGCATGAAACACTGCCTTTGTGTTGCTGCTGTTCCACAAAGCCATCCAGCGGGTGACAGAAGAATATTGCTGTTTGTTACTGGGTAAAGCCTACGGGCCCCAGCTGATATCAGAGCCCTAGCCTGTTAGGTGCTGCACAGACGCACAGTGAGACACAGTCCCTTCCCCAACAGGATTCCAATCTATAAAGTTTCTCATCTGCCCTCCTGCACCATATTTCTCAGGCATCACTGGCAAGCTCTTTTAACGTAAAGATTATCCCATAGCCCTACACAGAAAGTCATAATTCTATGTATTTGCACAATGCTATAAAGGCCAACTTTGTCCCTTGTTATTTGGAAGGGCTGATTGTGCCTGTCAGAGTTTCACATTTGTGCTTAAAGGAGTTTGGACTTTCCTCCCCATGACATTCCAGTAAGTATTTCCATAGAAATGCTAGAAAGAAAGAAAGAAAGAAAGAAAGAAAGAAAGAAAGAAAGAAAGAAAGAAAGAAAATGGTGATATGGTTAGCTGTCAATACAGCCTCAGAGCTATTTATCTTCCTTCTGCTGCTACATCATACCTTCTTTGGATCAATTCACCTCTCAGGGAATAAACTCAAACGAGGTTAATCCTGGGTTTTGCCCTCTCCCCCATTTCTTCCTACTGACGTAAGGATGATATTTGCCTGAGGCTTAATGTGTTTTTCTTTATTTTGCTTTGATTTCCAAACCCCCCCCCCCCCCAGTTTCCCCCTCAAATACAGACACACTCCTTTAAAGAAGGGAAAATAACCTGCCTTTTTTCTCTTTCGGTCAACAGCTCTTTCTTTTGTGTCTTTCTTTCTTTCTTTCTTTCTTATCCTCCCCTCTCTCTCTTTCTTGACACAATGCACTATTTATTTGCACTGAAGGATAACTAAGAAGCAATTAAAAGATCAAAGGCACAAACACAAGTGGATCCAATGGCAACTTGTGGGGTTTATTTTGTTGTCTGTGGTGATGTTGTTGATGATGAAGGCTCACCCAAAATGCTGGCTGTTTTCACTGAACTGGTGAGACACCTCGCATGATGGGGTCATCTTGTCCTTACAATATAGTTTTTGATTATCATTATTGTTCACCCTCTTTGTTTGCTGTTGCAGTTGTTTACTGGAAAATCACTTGTTTTTTTCTCAGAGAGATTAGCCCTCTCACCCTCTCTAGGTTTCTTTTGTCTACTCAAAGGAGGTGCTGGTGGCAAGTTGGGGGAAGGGAAGTCAATTCTTCTCTCTGGGCTGCTAACAGCCCCATTTGACCACCTTGGATATGGTTTTGTTTTTAAACAAATGGGGAAGGATCGTTGTGAAAAAGAATACAACTTTCTTTCTCATCTATTGAAAGTTTTACATTGGATGAGGTGTAAAGGTATATGGCCAAGATTTCCAAACCAGGGTGTCTAAAGTTAGCCTCATTAATCCATAATTAGGCACCTAAAGAAGTGGCCAGGTTTTCAAAAGTGCTGAGCACTTAGCAGCTAATTTCCATTGAGGTATGGAAAACCAAACCACTTATTTAAGTGCCTATATATGGATTTAGGTGACTAACTTTAGGTTTCAGAGTAACAGCCGTGTTGGTCTGTATTTGCAAAAAGAAAAGGAGGACTTGTGGCACCTTAGAGACTAACCAATTTATTTGAGCATGAGCTTTCGTGAGCTACAGCATCCGATGAAGTGAGCTGTAGCTCACGAAAGCTTATGCTCAAATAAATTGGTTAGTCTCTAAGGTGCCACAAGTACTCCTTTTCTTTTAACTTTAGGTTGAAAATCTTTCCTGTATGTATGTATGTATGTTTTATCAGCACCATGCCCTCCTCCCTGTTCTGATGACATCTTTAGTTTAAGGACATTGCACTGGCATTGGATTTTTTGGTGGGTCTGAAATGCAATGATACAATCCAGACATGGAAAGAAAATTAGGGTTGAATGATGTGATCCAAAGAACAACCTGATGAATGAACAGATTCTTGAGAGGGTGACGTGTCCTTTAGGAGGTCAAAAGCCTATAGAGAAAGTACCAGCCCTTCTCCCTCTTTGGTTTGTCTTTGGGAGAAATCTTCTAAATTCCACTTGTTTGGAGAAATCCTTCAGTCAATTCCCAACCTCAGAGAGAAAAAATCAATTATAAAAATAACGCATTATTTTCTATTGTTTAAGTGTGCATTGGCATGTTGTAATCATGTAATCACTGAATTTCATTAACTATTTGAGCACTGACTGGGACTTGGCAGTTCAGGAGACCTGGGTTCTATTCCCATCTCTGACACTGACCTGCTGCATGACCTTGGACAAGTCAGTTCACCTCTTTTTTTCCCTCCTACTCTTTGTCTTGTCCATTTAGATTGTAAGCTCTTTGGGACAGGGCACTGTTATCTTACTTATACATATCTGCAGCGCCTAGCACAGTGGGGTCCCTATCGTAGTGCAGGTCTCTTGGCACTACAGTAATCAATAGCAATAATAATTCATTTTACATTTTACTCTGCACAGCTTTATATGCACAATTAACTGTAAGTATGGGAGAATTCCCATTATCTTAAATGGGATTATTCATATGCATAAATCTTTGCAGAATGGGGCTTTAATTAGGTTGGTGGACAACTAAAAGTGAGCATGAGAGCCAGAATACAGCAATAGGTGCAGAACACACTGTATCTGTCTGCCCTAGATAGGCAAAGTCTCCATGTTTACTTTGGGATAGCAAGGATGTTAATGAAGTTATGAATGATTAACTGCTTACCAATCACAGTGAACAACCCCCTCCCATGCCTACCTCTTTGCTTCTGAAATCCTGCATGTGTCAAAGTCACTTCAGTCGGTAGGTGACTGTAAATTAAGGCCTGCCTCCCATACCAACTTCTTCACTGACTGAAAATCACCTTCGCTAATCACTGAAACATGTCGTTACCCCAGGAGTTATTTTGAAGGTAACGTGCAGGACCAATGGTGAAAAAGCAACTATTGAAAATAAAGATCAAATATTAGAGTAACCACCTAAATTTTATTTCTTGGAAAGTGAGGAATTTTGACTCAGTTAAGGAGCTCAGCGGATGTTGTGTGAAAGGAGGAAAGATCAGATTCAAGATGAAACAGGCACCTTTTAAGAAAAGTACACTGACTTGGATGAAGAGGTTTCAGTGTGGAAAATGGGTAGTTCTCCCCATGGAAAAGAACTATGTAGACTCACTGCTTGGTACCCATTGGCTTATGAATCACGACTCAGCTGATATTGGATTGTTTTCCCCATAGGGATCCTGGTGAAATTAAATGAAACACCGATGAACTCAAAGGCAACCATTCCTAAACATTTGGTCGCGATAGTCTTGAACATGGTAGCCCTAGTAGGGCATTTGGCCACCCCAGAATGAGCTGCTCTTTTTTGAAAAATAAAAACTGCATTCATCTGTTCACATGCTTATTGCTCACTTTACCTGTATGTGAAAAGCAGCATGCAATGAAAGCAGACACCCTCCTTCTGCCCTCACCCAAAGGACAGGGATTTTTTTCTGCATGGAGCAGTAGCTGCATTCAACCCCCTGAGAGGAACATTCTATGAAACCATGTTATTGAAACTTTTTCCTAGTGTGAGACTCCGAGGGTTACACGAGAGAGAGAGGGAGGGAGGGAGGGAGGGGGAAAGAGGGGTTAGATAACTTCTGCAAGGTTATTGGCTGAGTTGCCTTGATCGTTGTTACAGTAGAAGTTGGAGCATGCCCATTGGATGGTGTATAAAAGAAGGGGCAGTGAGTGCTCTCAGCCTGTCTCCTCAGTTGTGGAGCAGCTAATTGAGACTATAGCTGCAGCTGGGAGAACCAAGCCCCACCAGCTCAGACTCTTGGAAAAGCAAGAACAAGCCAAGAGACAGCAAAGCAAAACCAGCAACATCCTCGTAAAACAGGGACTTGACACACCAAAAACCTCCCCCCCAAATTAAACTAAACAACAAACCAAGCAGGACAGAAGCATGTCAGGAGCAGAGAGATACATGGATGAATGCTCCAGCCACCCAGCCTTACTCCAGGTCTGCACACAAGAAGTTGAAAGTAGCAGTGGAAGTGTAAAGGTAAGGGCAACATTAAACAACCCACGCTGGACTTGTCTCTAGTGCCGCAGCAGGCAGAGGGGGCAGCCAGGGGGCTCGCTGAGCTAAGATCAGCCCCATCAGACTTTTTGATGGTCAGCCCAGCAGATCCAGAGACTCCTCTCTGACTCTTCCTCCTGCTCAGCGCGCGCGCGTGTGTCCCCAGTTCACAGAAGGACGCGGGGTTGGAAATGAGCTGCAAAAGCTGCCCAGCTCGCTGCGAGAGATCTCTCGCCTGCAGGAGCGGGGGGCCGGGCTTGGCGCTTTCTTTTTTTAAGCAAGGCAGGAGGGTTTGGGTTGTGTCGCTTTGGACTCATGCAAACAACGTGATTACAACCAGGAGCCGCATTTGGCTGGCACGTTGTATTTCTTGTTGCTGCATCCCGGCATTTCCTGTGTAAGTGAGTGATGGTGAAGTCCTTGCAAGAGGGTGCAATGGGATATTTGCAAAAGTGACCGGTGTAGGAGGGCGAGAGTATTTATGAGCTGCTTCCCCCTCACCCCCCCCCCCCTTCTCCCTTGGTTGCGTGTGGAGCTTGGGGTTTGGAAACAGAAAAGCAAGAGTTCCCGCCTGGCTGCAGTTCCCCTTTAGGGTCGCTAGAGGGACCTCAAATGACGGCTGAGCCGCTTCACTTTAAATTAGAGGACTTCTCCCAGTGAGAGCCTAACAGGTTAAAAAAGGGAAGGGTGACACAAGTTGCTGGCTAGGCTGTAACAGCATTGCGCTGTAGGGACTCATCTGGGGGCTGGGTGTATATGCACAGCTACAGAGGACTGAGAGGAGAGCTGTGCCCCTGCAAGGGGGTGGCTCACCCTTAGAAAACTGGTGTATGTCTGCACACTGCACCTGGTGGGACACTGCTCTTGACTAAGGGGAGGGGAGTTGAGATCTGTCACTGGGGGACTGCAGGGAACTCGTATGCTCGCTCTGGACTCCTGAGTCCTTGTATGAATGGAGATACTGGCATCATGCCGGGATTCCCAGACTGGAGTTGGAGTGGAGCAGTTTTGTTTTTTTAATGGATTTTCTGCTCCTTGTGCATGTGTGCATACGTTCATTTAAAGCTCAAAAGTAAATTAGAAGCATTGCCCTTGTATACCAGCACCACAGCCAGTATCGGAAACTGAATAGCAGGTGATCATGGGAGAATGATATATGGAACTCACTAGGAATGTTTATTTCATAGGCAAATACTAAGATCACCTTAAGTGTGTGTGTGTGTGTTTATATTAGAGGGCTCAAGTCACAACATTCTGATCTGCACTCAAATTATGGTGTTTAGATCTCATTTGTAGTATACGAGGTCATGCAAGGTCACCTATGGGCTATTGGACAGAACTTGAAATAGACCTCTTCTACCAAAATATTGCATGCTTTTCTTAAGTCGTTTGGCAGGGGGGAATATTAAGATTGTGCATTGTGTGGAAGGGACAGACAGTTCTTTAGCTTCAGAGCCTTAAGAGAGTATTAAACGCTATTCTGAGAAACACTGCAGCATGTTTGGTCTCAGAGGAATGAAAATTCGGAGAGGAAAAACAAGAAAATGAAGCCAAAATGGAGTGAGAGTTAATGGTTGGCATGGAGCCTTCTACTTTGTGTGGAGTCTTTTTTTTTTTTTTTTTTCCCTTCCTTCCTTCCCAATTGCTTTTCCCTACAGTAATTGTTTTAAGAGAGCAACTTGGAAAGGTTTTAGCACTCTGTTCAGCAGTAGGGAATTGGGGCACATGAGGAAACTTTGATTTAACATAACTGTACCAGCAGATGTGGCTGCCTTGCTTTCAACCAGTGGTACGTTAACAGGGTTTCTGATACACTAGGTCTTGCTCAGGCAACACTGAGCAATCAAGTGTAAAAATAAGACTTGTGTGGGTGGTTTTAAATAGACACTTTGGGAGAGCCTCTGTTTTAAACCCTTAGATTGGAACTTCCCTATACAGAGTATATAGTTTTCTTCCTAACACCAGGACAGGCTGTAGAGCCCAAGGTTTGCAGAAGTAGGTTTTGGTTTTTTTTGACATAACAGGTTGTTAGGCTTTTATTTTTTCCCCTGGGTTTGTTTGACTCTGGTTGCATATTAAGGAAACAATGAAACCCCATAATCTGGGGCAGTAAAACCAGATGACATTTCTGGTTTGGGCTTCTCTGGACCAAAACTGACAAGTTTGGTGGTGGGGAGAATGGGTCACAGATGCAAAACCCGCTCTGATTTGTTGACAGGCACATGTTCACTTAACCTGTCAAAGGGGCTTTCTGTGAAAATTCATACAGGGATAAACAAATCCACTTTTCCTGCCCCCCCCCCAAAAAAAAAAACTTGTTGGGCTTTTTCCCCTTCCCAGCAAAATCTCAAAGCCAAAATCTCTGTGTGTGTGTGTGCACTTTCTATTGACTATCCTTTACTATAACCTGTGTGGGAGGATCACTGGCTGGACCAAATTACTACACAGAGTCTTCCTCCAAAGCCCAGTGAAGTCACTGCGAGTCTTTCCATCAATGACCATGGGTTTTGGATCAGGCCCCAGCTGCATAACAGAGCATTGTAAGAAGGAATTGCTCTAGTTTCTAAAATAAAGCAAACACAGGTCTTCTTTTTAGAGAGACAGAGAATCTGGTGCTTTTCCAGGATATCACATAGGAGCCCTGCAGGTGGTGCACCCTCTCCTGTCCACTCCCAGTCCATATCCTGGGACTGAGCTCGCAAATCCTACTTTGGTTTGTCTTTGCTTTAAAAGCTTCTATATCTAGAGACAGGCTGGGGCGGGGTGGGTGTGGGTGTGGGTGTGGTTTACTAGCTTCAGTGGGAGTGGGATAAAATACACACATTGATCATTTGTATGAAATAGAACGGAAAGGGTTAACCGTGCTCTGCCAAGACCTAAAGCCAGTTCAATGTGTTGTGGGAATATCACTTGCCAGAAAACTCCAATCACCACAATTTCTGATTAAACGGCTTAACTCTTCTCTCTTTATCGTTCCACTTGCTTTGCTGTATTTGCTTCCAAAACCTGGAGTAAATCAGAAAAAAGTTAAATGAGGCTACTAACACTGACTTTGAAATCCCTTCTCCAGATTCTGCCAGCTGTCTTTAGAAGAGTTAAGCAAGATTGCATTTCCCTTTTTAATGCAATAAATCAAATATTTCTGGGCTGCATACCAAAGTTTGTGCAATACACTCCCGAGTAAATAATACTGAGTACCCGTTTCACCTTTTTCTAGTTTGATTCCCCCCGGCCCCCCACATAGTTTCCCCAGCAAAGACTATTGTAGCTAACACCTACTGTACAGAGAGATCCCCTCAATCTCCCAGTGTGGGACAGAGGGAGCTGAGGGTATGGAGGGAACCCCCCTCCCAGAGTGGGGCACGGAGGGAGCACATTTCCCATTTAAGACACAAGAAAGTAAGAGCTAACATAGTGTTGCCAGCCTCAGGCATATAACAATCAAGCGTCAGGTGCCAACAAATCATGAGATTTGCTTAAATCATGTGATTTTTAAAACTAGCAAACTTGGGGTTCATGTTATCTGCCTTCCAGTGTTTGAGAGCTGACCTTTCATCTCAACCATGAGGGCTAGAAACTTCATTTTTTTACAATAAAAGCTAAGAGTTTCATACAATGATGAAGTGAGCTGTAGCTCACGAAAGCTCATGCTCAAATAAATTGGTTAGTCTCTAAGGTGCCACAAGTACTCCTTTTCTTTTTGCGAATACAGACTAACACGGCTGTTCCTCTGAAACCATACAATCAGATGATTCCAGTACCTAGAGCTTTAAGGAAACACCGAATATCATGAGAACTGGCAGCTCTGGGGCTCACTAAGCATGTTCCTAGGAGACACACTGGCACGTTGTACAAAGATTAGTCCTCAGAAAACTACTGATGTTACCCTGAAGCCACTCCCTAGCAACTCACTTCCAGAGTAATGCATAGCATAGGCCTCCTTCATAATACCACTGTGCCATCCAACATGGCACTGGGCTCTGAGTTCCTCCCCCTTCCTATACAGGGAAGGCTTTTTGTGTGTTAGAATGGCAAAGAAGTCACAGTAACATCGGATGCAGGTCTCGCGCAACAGACCCACACTTGTGACATTCTAAATATTAAGATGAAACACCTTCCCCTGCACTCTTATAACTTCCAGACACTCCCAGGTCTCTGGAGTGGTAACAGCACCTCTGTCCTGGGTGTGCATTAAGTCAAGGCCTGACTTTCAACGGTGCTGAGTGTCTGCATTCTCCCATTGACTTCAGCTGGAGTTCTGGATACTCAGCATTTCTGAAAATCAGGGTCCGCATTCTTGTTTATGCTGCCAGAGTGGTATCAAGGGGCCCTTAGAGAGGACGCGTTTCCCAATGGTTTGGGCATCAGCCTGGGATCTGGGAGACTGGCTTTGCCACAGACATCCGGTGCGACTTTGGGCAGATCACTCACTCTCACTGAGCTTTGGTTCCCCATGTTTAACTGCCCTATCTCTGAGGGGTGCATTGGGGATAAAGTCATTAAAGACTGTGAGGCACCCCAGCAGGATGGTAATAGGGAAGGCACATAAGTACCTGAGATAGTGTAATTGAGATTCAGGAAGTCCCTGTGTAACTGCCAGGCAATCTCCTACCTAATATCGTTGAATACATCACTCATTATGTCTGTTAATTTAGGCTTAATTCTCCCTTGCCCTGTTACATGCGTAATTACTTACACCAGTGCAAAGTGGGTGTGAAATGCTATCAAATGGGAATTGCAGCTTTACAAACCCATTCTGTAGTGTAAGCGATTTCCTCAGGGGAAGAATTGGACCCACTATCTCTGACTCCAATCTTGTAGATTGGGCCATCTCTCTAATTTGATCCTTCTGGTAGAATGAAACTCTAAAGTGGGCCAAACCAAAGGAGGAACTGGATCAGTCAGGAAGTTTGGTGATTTGCCTGGCCGGGAGCTCACACAGGAGAGAGGCATCACAGGGGTCTAGTAGCCTAAGCACAGAC